TGTACAAGTTTTTAACAGATTTTATACCCATGACCTGAAATATGAGTCAATGTCATTCATTTGAATAAACTTGGTAGACCTTTATTCCTGTATGCTACTATAGCTAAACATCATTACTGCTAAACAGCATAATACTGGCCAAATACCATCAACCTGGGTCTTTTGGTTATTCAGTAGTTGTTTCAAGTTTTTTCAGACAACTGACCTCTGCGACTTTGAAAGTCGGTGAATGTTATGCTTTTGAACAAACTTTCCTTCTTCCCAGCATGCTACTTGCTAAACATCACCACCCTTGCCATTTTTGTTATTCAGAATTTTTAACATATTTGACCCCTGTGACCTTGAATCACAACACACTATAGCAATTCAGAAATGGCTATTTTGAGCTTATATCACCTCTGTTCTAGTATAGGTGACCTCTGACCTATGTCTACCTTGCACCCAAAAATCATTATGTTTAACTGTTATTGATGTAAGGTTTGCAACAAGTACCATTTACCATCACACTGAACACTGATGGGTCGATCAGAAAGGGCATTTCAATGTATTTTGACAAGATACCCTCTGTTATACTATTTTCAAGTGACCTTGAGCTTAGGAACTCTTTAAATCCCTACTGCACATCTTCATATAACTATGCACCATCATGTAAAATTTCTTAAAGTTTCAGACAAATGAGAATGCGGATGGTCAGACAGACAGTGTGTAGACAGACGAACAGACGGACGGACATAGAGATTACTATATATAGGACATCTGCATCTCTGATGTCGGTACCTAAATGACAAATTGTTGAGCAATTGATTCTTGCATTGTATTTAAGAATGATTTAGAGCATAGCTGAATATGAATAGCCCGTCTCACTAGAACTGAATTTGACAATGATATTAAACAATAACTAAACACAATCTGTTTCCATCAATCAGCCACAATCACAACATGACATATCAAGTTAATATGATTTTGACCTTGGATGGACGATTACATAACAGTTATTGTTTTATACAAATTCAATTATTTCGCATGCTCTTTAACATCTGAACAGTATTGTTTGAACTTTTCACTAGTCGCTGTCCCTGAAGATTAGTTTGGTTGATATACACGGTATGCTGCAGCTCTCCTTCATCAAGTCCGATCTTCTTATCCATCCCTGTTCAGTAAACTCACCTATCATAGTTAGCTTAGGATCCCTATCTGTAAAATACAAAAGATCCATGTGATGTTTTTAGATAATTCACAAAACATTGATTAAGACATGTGATATGTAATTGGAAACATCTATTTCTACTTCTATTCCTATTTAAGTAAAGATTAATCATCACCATAAAAAAGAATGAATAACATTTTTTTTTACATATCAATGAGATAACAAGGGGCCCAAGGGCCTTAGCGGTCACCTGAGTTATATCATAGGTACTGGTAGCTTTATTTTATTGTTCAGATGTGATGTGGAAATCAGCATGTAAACTAAGTGAAATACAATACTTGTCATGTCATCAATGGATAAGAATTTTAAAATATTGGTAAATGTTCCCTTTGTTCCCTATATAAACTATAGTAAACTTTACCCTCTCCCCAAATGAGAACGGATAGCTCGGGGGTCCTGAAATTTACAATTTAAGTAAAGCCCTTGATGATCCTTCTTTTCATGTAGAGAAAATGACTGTAGTACCTCTGAGTCTGGAGTAGAAGATTTTTGAAATATTGGTTAATTTTCCCTTTGGGGCCCCACCCTGGCCCCAGGGGTTGGGTAATTCTCACCTAGTAAAAATAATTTCCTACAAAAAGTTGTCAAAATATACCCAAAAGTGTTATTTCCCTATATAAACTATAGTAAACTTTACCCCCTCCCCAAGGGAGAACGGATAGCTCGGGGGTCCTGAAATTTACAATTTAAGTAAAGCCCCTGATGATCTTTCTTTTCATGTAGAGAAAATGACTGTAGTACCTCTGAGTCTGGAGAAGAAGATTTTTGAAATATTGGTTAATTTTCCCTTTGGGGCCCCGCCCTGGCCCCAGGGGTTGGGGTAGGAATCCCAATTTTACAATTTCGTAGCCTCATCTACCAAGGATGATTCTGACCAAGTTTGAAAAAAATCCAATTTACTGGTTCTTGAGAAGAAGTTGAAAATGTAAATAGTTTACGCACGACGAACGACGGACGACGACGGACATAACGATTAGAATAGGTCACTTGAGCAAAGCTCAGGTGACCTAAAAAGGTATATCTTCACTGCTATTTATACATATATATTATTACTGCTATGAAAACAACACTTGCTATATGACTTACCATACATTAGTATGCATGCAACAATGTTGTCATGTATCAACCCATGTATTTTTAAAATATTTTGAAACTAGTAAAATGGGATCCATCCTTTTTAACAAACATCTCACTGACTGGGATTGTGGGACTAAAATTTTATGTACAAGTAATTTTCACCTGAAGTCAGATAATCTCTAGACTTATTGTTGTTGGAACCTGTCATTCAAGTGCCTCAAAGCTTTTATTTTTTGACAACCCAGTCTATTTATCACCCCATGGAGCGGTTTAAAGCAGCTGGCATGCTAAACATTCTGCTGTAGAATTTATAGTTAGGTCCCATCAGAAAATGGGTGATAGTGATAATTTAGAGCATGACCTTTGACCCTTTAATCTAAGATGATCATGACTACAACAAGACGCCCATGGGCCTTAACGGTCACTCGAGTCCTACATTATTTATTTTTGCTATTGAAATATGAAGTGGAGATAATGATGTCAATCATCCCTACTAATTTGAGTAAATAAAAGTTAAGTATAACGTTAAGTTCAGTGTGTCAGGACCATGAGTTGATCATTCCTAGACCGAGTATCAGTTAAATGGCCCATTACAACTTGATTTTAAGTTTGGAATAGTTTTTCTTCAAAATGGCAGCTGAAGCAGCCATATTGGATATTTTATCAGCCCGAGAAAAAAAAAAGAACATTTTGCAACGACCATGAGTTGATCATTCCTACCAAGTTTCAGTTCAATCGGCCCAGTAGAACTGGACTTTAATTTTGAAATATTACTTTCAAAATGGCGGCCATATTGGGTTTCTGATCGACCCAACAAATAACAACACCTTGTCAGGACCATGAGTCGATCATTCCTACCAAGTTTCAGTTCAATCAGCCCAGTAGACCTTGCCTTTAAGTTTGAAATAGTTTTTCAAAATGGCGGCTATGGCAGTTTTCTTTTTGAGAAATAGCGATAACATACTTTCCAAAATCCAAGATGGCTGATCCATTCATAGAAATAACAAACCTGAACTGTCAAAAATAAACATGTACAACTATGGACCAAGAGGAACCTACACATATTTTTGCCATATAGCCAGCCTACTTGTTATAAGAATGAAATCACCACAAAAATCTGTACCAAAGTTTAATAGATGTCACTTTTTGTTTTCATATATATACAGTATAACCTGTCTAAACCGGATGTCACTGGGGCCAAACTATTTGGCTGGTTTTTTAGTTTGGCCGGTTTACACAGGTGTCCAGTTAATACAGGGTCGGCAAGTCATTTTTTGAAAACAATCTTTATACAACTGTGTCAACATAAACAACAGAGAATATATTAATTGCAACGTTTAATTATTTACAAAATATACAATATATAATACATATGAAGGGCGATCAATTTAGCGGCGGTATGTAGTAGTTCACGTGAGTCCTTTACTGTACTGTAATTTACAGTGAATCATTCAAGTTTTGTTTTGGAAAGACCCCGTCATTGATTTTTGTTTGCGACCCACTTTTTCTCTGACAATTATGTCTTCCGTCATTGTTTTCAAATACGCAATAGGTTCTAAGAAGTGGTCATCTTTGAGTTTACTTCCCGGTGGTGTCATGGCTGGGGTTACCGTGTCATCTCTGTCCGTGTTGTCGTCATCATCCATCTCCTCATCCTCCTTTTCATCAAAGAAATCATGAACAAGTGTAGATTCTCAGTCTGCTGAATAAGTCTCCTCGGTTTCTATGCTTTATTCAATTTCACTCGCGTGATCTACATCGACCGTAGTGAATAGTAGCAGGTGAACGAGTGGGATGTCATCATATGGGACGTCCTCGTGGTCCACAACCGGGTCCTCGACCAGATATTAGATAGCGCTAATTTGTTTAGAATGTGTTTACTTTAGATTGTAGCCGGCCGAGAGAATTTCAGGATTGGAATGAACAGGTTGTTTTTACAAGGATAACTATGCCAACTTTTGTGAAACAACGCCGTTTTTTCCGAATGAGCATGGTCCGTTTTATACAGGGTTTAACTACTATGATTATAAAGGGAATATACCGGGACCACAAATCACAGCCGGTTTATACAGGGTTTAACTTATATGATTATATAGGGAATATACCGGGATCACAAATCACAGCCGATTTAGACAGGGATCCAGAACTTTTTGCTTTTTGTAAATTTGCTCGATACAAATGATTATGCCAGCCATTGTCACACTATTTTTAATCACTTATTTACATCATACCAAGTGATCGACACAGATTTATAAACATTAGGACATGCTCACAAAACAAACCTTTTGTCGGGTCTCTTTCAGGCCTGGGCTGCTTCGCTTGTCCTGTAAGTAAACCAATGATGTCATATCAATAGCAGAATGTCATATCACAGGAGTTATCAATGAGCATGGAAACTTGGATCTCCAGACACATGTCAGAGAAGAAATAGAAACCACAGAGATTCAGAAGGACAGGGCAATCGGCAAAAAGGGGGTCTATCATTTCAAGACCAAAATAATAAATATCGAAAATATGACAAAAAAACAGTAGACTGACAGTCCCACATGAAAAGAATCATAATGAAAACCGACAGAAAAAAAAACCGAAGTCATATCCTCCTATTAATTAATTATTAAGACAGAAATGAATATTTATGATATTAATAGTGTTTCATTCCTGTTTGTGTTCAAAACAAAGTGAAATTTAGCCTTCATTATTCAAACCAAACTGATGAATCGTATTCCGGATATTGATAGTCAAGATTAAACTGATAAACTTAAATAAATATCCACGAGAAATGATGACGTCATCAAAAAGTCAGTTTACTGACCGATGAGTAATGATGTCATCTTTATAATAAATATGATAAAGTTTTATCAACCTATGTTTAATCCCTCAGTTTAGAAGTAGTCACGGCTAGGGAAAAGATAAATGACATGATTCCAAACCTGATGTACGAATGGGTTTTTTGTGAGACATCAGGAAGATTTTGTCCCTTGAAAAGAACAGATCTGATTTTACTCGATTTTTCACATAACAAGTGATGCCATAGAGACAAACTTTCACCGTTTGTTTTTATCTGTAAATTATCAGTTATATATATAATTTACAAACCTTTTGACTGGATAGCTTTGATTTCGTCAGATGTCTCTTGTATGATGTTAGCTGGTCTCACATCAATTAAGCAGATCACTTCATACAGCTTATCATAGGATCCGAGACTTATGGTTCCCTTAGCCATCAGTTTAGCACAAATCTTTATGAAATTGGTGTCTTTTCCCTCTAAATCTACAGGGCCTAAGAATTTTGAGAGATGCAGGATGAGAGCATCCCAATTTTTACGCGCTGGATCAAAGTGCTCGCTAAGACTTATGACCATACAATTGTGCTTGTGCCGAATCTGCTGCTCCGGACTGTCAGCCGTGGAAGTCTATATAGATGACAAGGAAACAGAGGGATTAATATTTGAAATATTACTGTATCCTGGGAAACTTTCATCCAATAAAGTTATGCGACACTCTTTTCCAATAAAACACATTTCCGTCTTTTGTTAATTTCGTCCCTAACATGTAATTACTATATATTGTCTCCTGTGTACAAACATTCACTGTCAAGATAAATTCATCGTGAAAGGCAAACAAGGTGAAAGTTTAACTGCAGTGAAAATTTCCCCAGTAAGCAGTAGTTGTATTCATGACTATTTTTTCCCTTTTATCATCGACTTACATTTTTTTTTATTACACATTTAGGAAAATTTGTCTCCTTCAGATAAATGTTGTTTCATATAGTTTCATATAACAATTGACTAATTCTGTCTGAAAATTCCAACCAACCTAGACAAGAGGACCTATTTAGCTCACCTGTGCATGGCAATGCATGCTAACAGTAGAGTCTCCGTTGAAACAATAAAACAGATGTGAGGGCACTGGGAAATTTGTTCACAGTCATTAAGTGGACAAGTTTGATTTCAACAACCTAGCTTGAAGATCATGGTCTTACTTTTCTTCGTTTGTTAGATGTTTCCATTTGACATATTGACCCCTGTGTACCATAAAGGATGTTATAGTCACTGTTTCTCAGAAAATATGTTAGCAGTTCCACCTTGTACATTAATAATGCACCAGTTTGTTAAATGACCGGTATGGAATCCGGACCTGAGTCGTGATATGGAAAGAGTTAATTCTCCTAAAAGATGTACAATGTATACTGTCATATTTGCTCTGCACGAGACTTTTACAGAGGTAAACAAATAATATACTCTCCCTTTAGCTCCGAACAAGATAATTAGTATATATATATATACTTACGCTGGCTTGTTTTGACATTTTCAATCTGTTAGTTTTTCACCTGAAATAGAAAATGTAGGAAGTTTACTCTTTAGTTGACACTGAACTACTATAACGAAATGTATGTATCAGTGTTAACACAGAGCCAAGTAAACGGTGGAGTTGGTAGCCATCTTGTTTTCCAATCAGTTGCAAAATGAAACAATTACACAGCTACAAGGATCAAGGGAAACCTTGATATCATATATATGGCAAAAATCCATCTAGTATTTTTAAATGAGAGGCCAAGATGGTCTGTATCGCTCACCTGGATGTGTTTTAAGTACTTGATATGAGGTAAAGATATAGCACTCCATGGTAGGTACTGTATGTACTTATAAAATTTCAGAAAGATACATTTAGTATTTTTGGAGATATAGCAAGAACAAACTTCAAAAGCCAGGTGGCTGTCTTGATTTAATGAATACACCCTAATAATAACGGGCACTACAACCCAACTTGATGGATACAAAATTGGGATAAAATCCCGTAATCCCTACGGTAGAAGAGGGATTTAAAAGGT